AAATAATTTTCAGTTGGCTGCTGAAGAAATCAGGCCCATAGAATTTTAAATGTTACTTTTCAGTCTTGATGAAGACTTGGATTTTGACAAAATTTAGGTGAACTTATTAAAAATAGGTGATAGTTTTGGTGAATTCAAATCACATTCTTTAAATTCTGACCTTGCTAGGCAATGCATCTTCATGGAATGTTAAGCCACAGTTATCTGACCAGCTCTGCTCTGTGTTCTCCTCAAGCTTTTACCTAATGACTTTGCCTTACACCCAATGCTTCAAATCAGAACACTGCAAAATGGCAGACTTAGATTCACTGGGCAAAAACTTCAAATTATCCAATCATGGGATTACTGTCTATCCTTCAGTTTTTTTAACTACTATGCTACTTTATTTACTTCAGTCATGAGTTAGCTGCAGAACTGATGACAAACTGTGATCTGAGTCAGCTCTGATCTTTGCTGCAGTGTGATTGTTCTGATCCTAATCTAAAACTGTTCATTTTGATGTAGTGTCTAATCTTATCAAGCTCCTGCTAGAGAAATCAATTTAAATAGGTAGTTAAATTGGCATCATAGAATCTGTTATCCTTAATTTAATTCTAATATTGGTGGTATATAAGTTATTATTTTTCTGAGCTAACTATGGTGAACTATTTCACTTGATATTTTTTTTTTAATATTACATATTAATATTTTTTTGTAATATTATTCTAAAGATGAAGAAAACACATGGCCTATTAATATACCATGCAGGAAGTTAATTACACCTCGTCTGAAAATGGTTTGTTGTTTCACAGAAACATTGAGAAACCATGTAAATCAAAGCTTTATCTGTAAATTGGAAGGGACTATTTGACTAGTTGGACCGACTTGGAGGTAGGTCATTTGAAACCAAGGTGGGAGGACTGGAAGCAGACCAGCCTCAGTCACCTGAAAGACCAATGATAGAAGAAGGATTGTATACTTTTGTGTACTTACTGTTGTACTGCTTCACATTTTTATAGACACTGTGCAACAGATTTTACTTGACATAATATTTACCAACCCTCGGTAACTGGAATATATATTCACAAAGTGAAATCCATCTAGCATTTTCACAGTCAAAATATTCAATTTATTAAAATTAGTCTCCCTAAAGTGCTTTTTTTTGTACTGGAGATTTTGTTAAAAAAACATAAATTTGCAAGCATTTTTTGTTTTTTTATTGATTGTGTGTTTTTTATTGATTGTTTCTATGTGTATTTACAGATGACTAGTGGTCAGTAATTATTAATTCATTTTTCTTGACAGAAAATTCAAACAGCAGGAACTGATTGTGGATCTTTGAGGTTTGTCATCACAGAGTAGTTCCTCCATCTTTTGCTGCACTAAATATAATATTTTGGATTTCAGACTGATCCTTATCACAAAACCAAAACCAAATCAAATCCATAAATAAGGAAAATAAAATATTTCATTCTGTAAATACTTACCTTCTGTTTCAACACCCAATTTTTTAAAGGAGATAGAAATGTGCTATTGCATGCGGTCATTTCAGTAGAAAATTAAAGACTTGTGGGGGTTTTTTTCTGAGGCTTATTTATTTATTTACTTATTTTATTGACTGGTTGCTTTTTGTTTTGCATTTTTTTTTCTCAGAGCAGCTATGCTCTGAGAAATGAAGAAACTAGCTGCCTACATTGGAGACCATGCTTTATGGAGAAGACAGAAGAATACTTGAATACCTTTCTTACTGTCTTCTGTACAAGATGTAAGCCCTAAAGAAAATTTTGAAGCTTTCTAAAAAACCTGTCAGTTTCTGAAAAATATAAGAAGTTATGGTTTTTTCCTCTAGAATCTTGTCTAATATAGTGGGCATGAGCTCTAAGAGTAATTCACTACGTAGCTCTTTATTTGCTTTTTCATCTTGAGGATGAACCCCTGTGTGATTCAGCATAATACTGCATATTGTATAAACTAGTTATTATCATGTAGCTTGCACTTATTTTTTAAGTACTATGTTTCTTAGGCAATTCCAGATATTGGTAATTTATTAACTGCAAGCAGATGTGGAGTTATCGAAATACAACGACTCTCTTTCCAAATACAAAGAAAAACCAGATGCATTACTCTGGGAAAGTTTTTACACAGAAACAGCTCTGACTTGCCTAAACACCTTAAATATGTGTTTGTGCATGGGGAGTGAACAATATGTTTTACTTTTGTATACCTTCCTTTAGCAGATTGGGATGGCATTGTTTCTTGCCATCCAGACAAAACACAATTATAAATTAATTTTCTTTTTCATGTTACCCCAACATTTTCTTTTTTCTTTGTCATCCCAACAATAAACCATGAAATTCTACTGCTGCTGAAGTCCAACTTCATCTGTCCTGATAAAGAGGACAAAAAAATTCAAATTCCTTGTGGCTACCCATTTGAAAATTCTGAAAATTCTCAACATCTTTGAAAGAATATACTCTCTTTTCTTCACTCACCTACCCTGGTATCGCAGTGGGGAAAGTACAGATTATTCTGTCATTTAATACTTGAAGAAAAGGCCTTAAAAGAACAGAACCCAGCATAAGTAAGAAAAAAGTTTGCTTAAAATGGTGGAAAAAGCACCACACCAAAAGCAGAAATAAAGATATGGGTACTAGCTATATGTATAATGCAAGAAAGTGTATGTGCAGTAAAATAAAAATTGATTCAGAGCCTGTGATATTAGGCTGTATCCAGCTGAAGGCCAAGGATAGTCCAGCTCCTGTGTCGTCAACTGGTAGAGTGATACTAATTATAATTTTCTCTCTCAAGCAGTAAAGGCAGTAAGCATGCTTTATTCTTATGTATTTTGTTCTCTATACTATTTGCACTGAAAAAAATCAGAGTTCCAAGCTATAACCAAGCCAAGTACTTGTAGCTCTGCTTTTGGCTCATGTAGAAAGCAACGAGAACAACCAGAAGGTGGCAGTTTTGGACCACTTTGTAAAAGGGCTTCCAATGACTTCGAGCATAACTAGACTCCTTCTGAATACTTAGATTCAAACAGGAAACAATCTGAAAGATAGTTTTAAATAATTTATGTGATAATATATTCAAGAAATAAAAAGGAGCTTTCATCCCAAGAGTGGTAAATTCAGCCCCATTTAGCTTTAGTCTAAATACAAAGGCTACAACTGAGAGAACAACAGTTCCTTCAGGAGCCACAGAATTTACTGTACACACATTTAGAAACAAAATATCTACACTTACAGCTAAGGCATTCTTATGCCTTTGGAACTCATCAGGAAGGGAGCATCCTCAAATTTTAGTCTAGCTCTTGGTAGGCTCCAGATTTGTTCGGGTGAATTAACAGATGTGTTGTTGGCTTAGCTTTCTTTTATTTATTTTATTTTGTTTTTTTAAACTCAATTTTCCAGGTTACAATAATGTGTGGTAAACGGCAGTACTCATGAAAGTACATCCAATTACTCATCTAGTTATAGTAAAAAGAGACAATTTTCCAGAGAAGAAACAAACTTGTTTCTGAAAAGCCTGGCTTGCCAAAAGAGCTCAGAATTAGACCCTCAGAAATCATCAGAAGGAAATAGATAAAAGTATTTAAGTTAGCAGACAATAATAATTTTTCTTTTAGCAAGACAAATTGCTCCTTTACAGATGCAACCCCAACGATCACTATTGTATGTTTAAGCCCTGAAATATTTGTCAGTGAAAACTACAATTAACAATGGAATAGCACATGTTTGGAGGATTAGGGTATGTGATAGAGCATCTTCACTCTAGAGCTTCCCCTGCAGGTGAACACTTTGTACCATGCATGAAGTGTCATATCAAAGGGACTGGCACACAAACTAAGCTTTGAAAATATACATTAGAACTGAAAAAAAAATTAAAAATCCCTAGCACATTACAACAGAAAAAAAAAAAAAAAAATCTGACTTTTTGTATATCTTTAGTCAAAGGATTTCTGTCTTTATAGATACCTGAAAAAGAACCCTTAAAATAGAACTCCCCTGTGCTCTCCTTGAAAACTTTTCAAAGGACAACTGACCTCTTTTCTCACTTTACACTACTGTCATTCATGAAGAAAATAAAACTTTAAGAAACTCAAGGACATAAAGCAGAAAGTTGGTAAAAAGCATAAGGAACAGAGAAAAGAGAACAGGGCATATTCAGCTGTGAGGTCAAATTTTACTATAGGGGAAGAAAAGGAGGAACTTAGATTCTGGATTTTAAAATAGCACAAACTTTGATGAACTAAAGGAATCATTAGAGCTTGAATATGAGAAACATCTGGAATTTCTTCCAGTCAAATGACTTATAGTATTAGGAATTTTGTATTCCAACAAAGGGGAGAAATTACAGAAAGGGTGTAAACCCAACTGAGTGAGTGAGCAGTTCAAGAAAAGTGTTGTGGTTAAGAAGGCAACATAGAAGGAATGAAAAAAAAGTAATTTTTTTTGTAATTTCCTAAAAGGCAAGAGGTGAGAAATCAAGTAATAATTAATGGAAGTCTATTCAATGGCATACAGCTTGCTGTAGCAAAGTTTGAGACAGAAAATCAAATGGGAAAAGGGATTCCAACTCTTCAAGTGAAACTAAAAGTGAAAAATAAAAGGCCTTGTGAGTGTGGCAGCAGGGAGTAGAAGATGTATGTATGTATGGCTCCCAGGAAAATAGTTTTCTTAAGGTTATCAAGATGAAGATTCTACTAATCTCATACAACAAAACCATATGGATGATGGCAAATTTGAGTTTTGCCATACCACCAGATTTTTCTTTTCTGACCAAGATTTTTCTCTTGTTTCCTAGGATTGTGTGTGGACAGTAGTCCAAACTAGCATCATTAAATTGCATGCTGTCTTCTGGATTAGTTATTCTTTGAGTGGGCAGAGGAAGTACTGTCAACTTTTTCTCTTCCTTTTGAATTTTGGGGAAGGCAAGAAACATGCTTATTCTACTATACTGCACCTTGGGCTTTATAGTACTGTGACAGGAAATTGTACCCTCATTGCATACTTACATGTTTGCTTTCATTCACTGTCTGTCGTGGTGCTTCAGCCTAAGTGCACCTTACTGTGCCTTCAGTATTACATCCTCCAACACCTCACCATTTCAAGATTGGCTATTCAGGTGCAAATGTCGCAGGTTTAGGACTAAAAAGACATAAAACCTTTTTTGAGAGTCTGCATCTTTATAAAATTTCTTGAACTCTTAAAAAGACTAAGCTGTTAAAAGAAAAATAGAGATGTCAGTAATGAAATAAAGCAAACAAAGAACAGAAAATAAAACACAACCAGCTCCCACCCCTCCAGTCCAAACTGACTTAGAGAAAAACAAGTATTTAAAAGGAAGTACAGTAAAGTAAGTGAGGTAGAAATTTTCATTTTAGAATAACACTTCATTCCCAATACTCCTTTCATATTAATATTGTTTCATTTGATCCATATACATTCTGAAGCAAAACTCAAGACATGGTAGCAACAATAGCTAGTTCTTCCTATCCCCACATTCTGAGGAGCCTTAGAGAAGATATCAGAGATTCAGAAATAGAAGAAAAAGGATAAATCATTCAGTCATAGCCATACAAGATAATAGGAACAGAATGCTGTGACAGAGAGTGACAGTGATTAAAAAAATTATTCTTATGGGATTTAGTGGATTTAACAGCTTCTTAACATCTCCCTCATCACCTAGTTGATATGGTGCATACAACAATGATATTTTTGGTTCCTCAAAATATTTCCTGTGGCAGGATGCTCTGCCTGGAATGAGGTAAAACCACTCAAACAAGGCACTGTTTGCAAAGCTATCCGTGATAAATGAAGGAGGGGTCATCATGCTGCTTTTCATGTTGAATAATGTTAAAATCTGTCTGAATCATCAATTCCAAAATTAAACATCCTGATAGTGAGATGAAGACAAGTAGACCTGATAAAATATCTTGCTAAAGGAGCAAACGAGTCATACTATAGATGACTATAAAGCTTCTGAGGTGATGCAGCTGGCCAGGACACTGATGACTGGCAGTCAATCACTTTATCAAGACCAGTCCAAAGCTTTAAAACCAGGGTCTTCTAACACACCCCTTCTTGGCATGTGTGTGTAGGGAGCACCTCCTTGAGTGGGGATGGTCCTTAAGGTTACTCCTTGATGCTGAACAAAAGACATTTGTCCATGAATGTTGGTATAGGTGAATAACACCAATCTCTACTTAATAATTAATTCTGCTAGTTTGAATACAATTGATTTAATATAATTGGCTCAATTTTGCTTTATAGTGAACCATACTGTAATAGTTGTAATAGTTCCTATACTGTGTAGTAATTCTGATTAAGTTTTTTTTTGTCTAAGCATTATCATAATAAATTATATCTATATCTAATCTATATCTATCTATATCTATGTCTATGTCTATATCTATATCTAATCTATCTATATCTATATCTATATCTATATCTATATCTGTATCTGTATCTGTATCTGTATCTATATCTATATCTATATCTATATCTATATCATCCATATAATCTCTATCTCTATCTCTATCTCTATCTCTATCTCTATCTCTATCTCTATCTCTATCTCTATCTCTATCTCTATCTCTATCTCTATCTCTCTATCTATATCTATATCTATATCATCTATATCTCTATCTCTATCTCTATCTCTATCTATATGTCTTATCATCTATATCTATATCTATATCATCTATCATCTATATCTATCTATATCTACATCTATATCTATCTATATCTATATCTATATCTATATCTATATCTATATCTATATCATCTATATCTATATCTATATCTATATCTATATCTATATCTATATCTATATATTATCTATATATCATCTATATAATCTATATCTAATCTTTATCTATCTATCATCTATCTGTATCTATCTAGATCTAGATCTAGATCTACCATCTGGTTTCTCCATCTTTAATCCTTCAGACAAACTTATACAACTTATTCAGTTATACCTGTAGAATGCTTTACACATAAACTGTTGATGAAGTCTGAGGCTGATTTGATCCAGATACACCCAGACTACTCTCTGAAAAGGGGTTTAGAAAGCAACAGGACCCTTTCTGCCTCTTGTAACTCAATGAGAGGACTTGTCTAATAAGTTTTGCCTGAAGGTCACATTCTGCTTGAGACATCTTGTAAATTCAATTATGCAAATACCTAATTTTGTGACTGGTTTTCCTTCTATAGTGAAAAAACCCCACATAACAGCCTCTGTTTGTGGGCTTCAGTTTTGCATTTATAACTTGTGTTTATAAGTAAGAAGTCACTTGTCATTCAGAACCTGTGAAGATTAAGTAAGTACAAGGTAATCAATGCAGAAATTCAACTAAGAGCTTACATTCTCCCCTGTGTGGCTGGAACCAAGCTTCCTTTGTCTTCTTCAATAGTTTTGCTAGAAACTTTGCTTTTTCTGTTCCAAATTTCTATTGAAGCCTCTGCAGGTTTCTGCTTCTGTGTTGATCACTTATGATATTGATTTACTGAGGACTTATTTTTTAAAAATTGGTATTTTCAAAGTTCAAGTTGTCTGAAATATAGGTTATCTTTATAATAGCTCTCAGAGAATTGGAACTATGTCATTATAACAATCTTCATCATAGTTCCTGCTGGAAATATGCTTAGCACTTTCCCTGGAGTCAAACTCATTGACTTCAATGTGAACTTGATCCACCAAGTACATAATGTACTATGCAAACTTCAGAACAGAGCTCATTTTTAAGTACAGGAAACATAAGCCACAGTGAAAACTAGAAATGAAAGATGCTGGCCTGGATAAAAGATGCACATACAATTTAAATGAATTCATAGCTTTTAAAATGCTTACCACAATTTAAATAAATTCATAGCTCTTAAAAAATTCATCACTTTAAACTCACTTGAGATTTCTTTGTTAACAAAATAAGGTTTTGAGAGCCTGCAAGGTTGCAGGAGCCTGAACTTGCTAGGAAAGATGTTCATGCCACTGAGCAGCTCTTTACTGCCTTTATTCTGCTTCTCTGCACATGCTTGTTTAGATGAAAATCAGCTTAATATAAAAGTGCCAACACAAAGCTTGGCTTTGGATTTAGTGGCACAGAAAGATTCAAAATAAAATTCAGTTATCAGAGTTTCTCTAGCAGCTACAGGNCAGGTTTTTTGTTTTTTTCTGTTTGTTTGCATCTTTTCAGTGTGAAGGGCAGAAAATTACATGTCCACTCCAAATCACATAAGCCTGTATTTCTTATCATTGCCAAAAGAAGAAGAATCAAACAGCCTCATAATTTATGAGGTTCAGATATTGAGAGCTGATCTAATTTAGTTAAAGATAAGCCCTAAGACGTTTGTTTTCTTGTTATGGATAAAAGTGGGGTTTTTTTTTGTTTTTTCTTCAGAATATGTATAGCTTCTTCAAAATGCAAAATGCATGAAGTCCTTTTTATATTGATTAAAAACTATAGTCTTTCAGAAGTTGGTATCTAGCATATCTGCCTTGGCTAGGGAATAAATTCACACAATAGGACAAAATGCTGTTTAACACAGAAATGTTCACACAATAGGACAAAATGCTGTTTAACACAGAAATGGTTTGGTATACTAGTTAAACAAGTTAATGTTCATAACCATTTAATTAGGAGTATTACCTAGGGAGGAATCATGTTAGTATACTTTGCCACATGAAGAGGGAACATTGAGATTGCAAACAGAAGTTTGCTTTGTTTGTTTCTTCAATTTAAAGAGGAAAAACAGAAAGGAAATAATTTCTGGATATATGAAATATCAATGGATATGAAGGGAGTTACATGTAACCAACAAGAAAAGAAAACTTGAGGGACATGATCTCACACTGTAAACATTTTTAAGACATCTCAATGAGTAACAGGAATTCTTCATAATTTCTGCCAACAATAAAACAAATATAGCTCACAGAAGCCATGGGAAGGAGATGGTGGTTAGAATACATTAAAACAATGGTATCAAATATATGTAAAAGAAGCATTAGAAGCAGATGAGAGGAAGACTGAAGGAGGGGTGTAGTTTCTATATGCAGAAGAGTAAGCCTTTTCTATGGCAATGGAAGTGTCCCAAGAACAGTTGCTGCAGAAGCAGACCATGAACACTGTAATACTAACTCTAGTGTCTGAAAGAATAACATATTCAAGCTCAGCCCCATCTTTCTGATTATCTGTTTCATACAAGAGACTTCCATTTGTGTATGCTTATCTACAAATCTTATGTATAAAAACAATCCTTAAGCCAAGAATATTATGTGCAATAACAATAATAATAATAATAATAATAATAAATCAGTCAAAATTGTATTATCTTGATCAAACACAGGGTTTGAAGAATTACATATCAGAATCATCTAAATTACTGTATTTGCCTTTAAAGATTGTTATTTCAGATGTAGATGATATTTGTTCAAACATTTTTATTTTATTCTTTTTTTTATTCCTTACAATTACATTTCCCATTAAGTATTCTATAATCTGGTGATAAAGTGATTCATTGTAAAACCTCTGAACCCTGTTAAAATGTTAATGATTTTATGGTAAATTAGCTTAAGGATTATTTTCTTTGAACTTGGGTGTTTCTGTTGTCTCTCTTTTCCATCTTATTTCTGCCTATACATGAAGGAAATGACAATTTATGTGTAAAACTATTACTCTAGGGAAAGAATTTTATTACCTAAATCTTGGGACTGGTTTTCATTTCTATTCATTGTTATTTTATACTATGAAAATTCTAATATTTTACTAAAACATTATAAATAATGTACATATTCATACTTAACATGTTTTTAATTAGGAAAGCTTCATGCCTAAAAACCTCAGCAATTTTATCTGTTTTTCTAAATCCTCAGACTGTACTTTCTGACAAACTCTATTTGTTATCTTCTGGTTGTCATTTTCAGCCAAAGGTAGTTTACATGAGGACAACAAAATCTGATACAAGAGCAAGACCAAAGTCTTTTAAAATCATCAATCAAAGCAAAATAGTGAAACATAAAATTAATGTTAGGCTTCAATATACAAGCTAAAATTGTATTGTTCAAAAGCAATTTTCTCTAGTTTAAATCCAACCCATGCATTCACCTGAAAAGCTAAGAGATCTAGAGAATCTCTTTAGAACGTTTA